TTCGCGAATAAAACCTCATAGGCGTGTTTCTGGGGTTATACCACCAGTTAAAATATTTGCACTTATTTCTGGGACACCCTGTATAATAGTTACCAATAACTCACGACAACCATTCTAGTTGTATAATATGGTGTTGGGAAGTTTCCTAACACACTTATAAAACAAAAAATGCTTCTTGGGGTATAGAACTAAACAAGCTCTAAATATTTTTATCGGACTTCGTTTATCTGTTTCTCGGATAAAAAAAAATGTTTGAAGTTTTTTATGTCAAATCACAACTTTTCAGATATTTGACTTTCAGCGTGCGGTATTATTTCTTTTAATTTAAAATAAATAAATAAATAAATAAATCCCCCTACATTAAGACACGACTTCACTGTGCGCCGACACCCGCGATCGTACCCTGTTACGGTTCAGTTTTCACGCGCCAGTCAACTAAAAAGATAAGTTTCTGCACCAAGGAACAACGAAAAATACGCCAGTTATTTTACGTTTCACACGCAAGTTATTTTACGTTTCTATTCCAAGATATTAAAACTAATTTTTTCCAAGCCAGGAAAATTAAATTAAATAATCCAGTAAATGTTGAAGTTTAGTGCTAGGTGACTACATCTTCCGAAACCATCATTTGTTATTAGTATTAAACTAGATATTTTTCCTAGACTATAAGCTTCTGAATAGTGAGTGCTACAAAGTGTGTCTAAACGGCTAAAAGAAGTTTATAGCGCCAGTATAATATAACAACTAGATATTATACTGTGGTCAGCTATGCCCTTTTCACCGCCAATACAAGTGCAGAAGTGAGGTAACAAATTTTGAAGATTTATTTATGACAGGGTTTTAATGACAATTTAACGGGAGTGATTTGGAACATTTACATGCAAATTTCTATATCAGCAAGTTTTAGTTTTGTAAATTTTCAAAGATTTCTTATTTCTTGTAACAGATAGTATAAAGTTTTTTATCGTAGCATAAACAGTATGAGTGAGAGAGTGTAAGGATTTAGTGTAGTAAGAAATAGGGATATTGTGTTTATTCTTTTTAATGGATTAAAAAATAGTATTTGTTATTGTTCTAAATTTTTTTTTATTCAAATATCCAACCAGTATCCTTGATAATATAGTCTACTAAATTAGGTAGTATACGTAGTACTACCTGCTTGTTTTGCAAGCTAATACTAGGATCACATATCCTAGTATGTCTGTACGGCAGGAATAACAAATCCTGCTCCGTACACAATCTAAACCATACCTATATTTATAATATCGTATGCTCGAAAAAAACTATCTATATATACTATAGATAACTATATAACAATCCCTAGACGGCCCATTTACTAAAAATGTATACCTATATAAATACTGCACCATTTAGAAATCATTTTATTCCATATAAAAATAAATTATGTACAACCTCCTTCAAAATCTTCATTTTCAGGTCTTCCTGCCGTACAAATAATATTGTGCAATGCTGCACAAACATTCCCACTTTTTTTGGAGAATACTTCAAAACCTTTAATAAACAAATATATTCTTCCCTTCGGTGCACTTATGCATCTTTCAATGGAATTTCGTGCTTGAATATGGTGCTAGGTATACTTAACGTTCTGAACGGGACCGTCCCTTTTTTCGACTGTCTATCCCGGTGTCCCCGAAAGACGCTTCGGGACGCCAAAGTGTCCCGTTTTTCATTGAGCGGTGCAGACCAGTTTCTCAAAGATATATGTGCAAGGTATCTTTGGTTGCTTAAACTATAACAAGTTTTGGGTTGGCAATAGACGTTAGTAATGTTTCATATCATGTTGGTTATTTACTGTCGAAATATTTCTTCTTTGATAACTCCGTAATATTTGTAATCGTGACGCAACTAATGTTTAAAAAGTTATTAGACTTATCTTTTTAAATAGTATTTAATTATGCCGAAACGTAAGTGCACTTTTAATGACAATTTAAAAGCAAAATATCCGTTTATTAAGCAAATAAATACTCCGTCAAATGTCAGATGCGAAAAGTGTCGTACAGAATTCAGTGTTTCCCATAACGGTGCTGGTGATATTGAACAGCATTTAAAATCTGAAAAACATAAAAATGCCGATCGCGCAGCTGCTTCAAGTTATTCAATGTTAAATTTTTTTAAGAAGTCGAGTGTGCCAACTTCAAAGGACTTGGATATCGCTGCGACAGAGGGCGTCTGGGCTTATCACACGATACAAGAAAACCATAGTTTCCGCTCCAATGATTGTACGTCAAAATTAATCCAATCATGTTTCGATCAGAAATTTAGATGCGCGCGTACTAAAACAGAAGCTATTGTTGTAAATGTTTTGGCGCAAACTGCGATTAAAGAACTGAAAGATGATCTTGGTAAGTCCAATTGCATTTCAATTTCAACCGACGACGCTTCAAATCACGTATAACGCCACCTTGGGTGAAAAAGTTTATAATGAGAACTCAGATTCACCAGGTTCCGTTACAAATAGGTTCCAGCTAGCTCAGTAAATAATTAAGTAAAATATATATGCACAGAACAAGAGATATCAAAAGGGAGGTGTATGGAAAAGTGTACTGATTGAAAAGTCTAAAATGTACTGGATTCGTTTAATAAATATTAAATTTAAAGTTAAAATAAATTACCAAGATCTATCATAAAATGTAGCAAATATCTAAATACGAAATAATGAAATATATATATATATATATATATATATATATATATATATATATATATATATATATATATATATATATATATATATATATATATATATATATATATATATATATATATATATATATATATATATATATAAATATAAAAATGAACTATCCGTAAAATAAATTAAATCAGGAATAGTACCACAAAATATTGTTGTGACTAAACTGTGAACAACCCTGATGCGTATTTGTGATTATTATTAAATGACTATAAAGAATAAAATGAAATTTAAATGTAAAAATCCCCTGGTATACCAAGTTCACATACGATCGTATATTTAATGTAATAAATTTTAATCAACCATAAACGCAATAAAATAAGAGATGATTAAAGTCTTATCTGTCATCCAGTGGTCGTTTCAGGCAGTCCATGAGAAAATCCAGCTTGCCGGTCTTCAGTGTCACAGTGGCATTCCTCGTCACAGTGGCATTCACGTCACAATGGCATTAGTTGCAGTACCAAATCCAGTACAAAAAAAATTGATAAAAATCTTAAGCTAAACCGTAATCATCACTAAGGAGTAGCCAAGGAACAAGAACCCTAAAATGTGATCTATTTTAGTGACACGTTTTAGTTTGGACATAGTAAAATACCTTTCCACCATGCGGACCTTTCAAGACAAGATGGCGTCTCAACGCATGTTACTCCATGGAAAAGGGTTCCTTAACTGTCCTCGTACTCATCCCAGTACGTCCACGCACCCATCTCTCCTAGTACGTCCACGCACCCATCCACCACGCTCCTGTCCTCTAAAATAAATAGTTGTAGAAGAGAACCTTACACCTAAGAATGTCTCTTACCCAACCAACAAAGATATCCCTTTTCAAGGTTTTCCCCGGAATTCCAACTACACAGGCCAAGCTCAATTTCTTGCCAATCGGTCTTCTCGACCCTCAATGAATTCCAAGACCGTAATTCTACTGAACAATCCCAATATGGAACGGCGACCAGCCAAAATTTCACTAGAATTTCTTTCTTTTATTTTCGGCAGAGATCAGAAGGCTTCCCTTGCTTTCACCAAGATGGTTCAAAGTCGAAAAAGGACGCGTGTTTGCAAAATCCGCAGAAGACGCTGGACTCCAAGATCCAACACTGGCAACCAGTAAAACAAAAGACCCAAAATAAAATTCGATGTAAAATTTTATTTAATGCATACGGATTGAGTGAAACATTTTATTACATCATAATAAAATTATAATAATCCCTATATGAACATAATATCTTCGAAAAATTATTAATACATTTTCCGATCATATATAAAAACCGTTTAAAAAGATCGAAAACCTAATTTACAAAGACCCATCTGTCAAACTTCAACGCCGGTGTCAAACGATCAGCTGACAACAATTGAAACGTCAGTCTGTAAATCGTAATATAAACAAGATGAAATTTAGGGAAAGTCAACTATAATGAGGTAAAACCGATTGATTACACACAGGAAAAATACATAATAAAATCCTTAACCCATATGTATATTGTAGACCCAACATTCCCACTTGTTGCGTTGAAACAGACAAAAGATAATCACATCAAGTCTATGTTCAAGAATCCTCCGAAGAAATATGCCAAGAAAATTATCCTAACACAAGCATAAGTCTAAATAAAGAATTAGTAACCACTGTAGAAAGAAAGGTAGGTTTTAAACAGACAAATTGATATTTTATTAATAAGGTTTTATATTACAGTTATCGGAGGCAACTCCATCCCAAGAAATTGTTGTGGTGAAGAGATTTAATAGATAAGATATTATTAGAAGTTATATGTACAGTTAAGAAGTAAGCTAATTAAACGTTATTATTCAAGTTATTCAAGAAGTTTTAGTTTTTATTCCTAAAAATAAGCAAAATAAGTAAAATAAGTTACGGTGAAATTTTGAACCGTAACACATGGTAGCAAGAAAAAATACCCTTTCCAAAAAAAATCCTGTATGAGTATTTCGCCACTGCACTGCAAGAAAATCTACAAAATAAAATAATTATTTTTTGTAAACACTTCTGCGTTAAACCTAACCGGACGCTGCTTGTCAGAAGTTATGTTTACGGTAATACATATTTGTCTAACAAAGCAAAAAAAATGCTTTACGTTTCGGAAAGTTATCTCTTTCCGTCGTCGGAAGCAAAAAAATACAAAGAATAAAGAAAAAAACTATTTAAAATATTTAAATTCAACTATTCGAGAACACTTTAATTTTTTAAAACAGATACGTCTACAAGAAACCGTTGACGTTCTGTTAAAAAATTTTTTTAACAGAACGTCAACGGTTTAAATGTCCAAGGCAGCCAAATTAAATAAAGAAATGAAAGGAACTGGAGGGGGTCCATCTCAATGCGTGCCTCTTTCGGAACTTGAAAATAGGCTGTTTAATCTTCTGGGAACAGTGGCAGTTGAAGGAGATAATGTGGCCGAAATGGGCTTTGGACAAGTAAGTTTCTATAATTTTTGCACTATATTATTTTAGTGAATGCGGAAAGGCTAAACCTATTGTCTCTTTCTTATTTTTATTTGCATTCCTGATATAAAGTTTTTCTCTTTTTTATTATTGTTTTTTTAATTCCTAGCTCTAGGGATATGTACTACGGCTAGTATAATAGTCTAAAATGGCATTCAAGGTTTACATATCATATTACACCCTTGCTTTTATACTTTTCAAAAGGTGTGCTTATGTACATTTAAATCACAATATTTTGTTTAAGGTAACAGTGAATCAATTTCTAGAACCCAGCGTAGATGTTGTGACATCTGAAGCTGCAGGTCGTTCTGAACTGACATCCTCAAGTCGTGGTCTGAAAAGACCAATGGAACCAAATCTTGACCATGATTATACTGCTGAGACCTCTGGTGGATCTTCACGTTCATCAAGTGCTGTCAAAAGACAAGTACCAAATCTAAACCATCTCGGAGGATTAGACTACTCCGGGAAGGGAGTGTTTGCAACAGGCTTATTGACTTGTCTGAGGAGACTTTAAATACCTTAAAATGTATTGAGGTAAATACTCGAGCTATTGCAGAAAGTTTTAAAGCCAAGCAATAAATTATAATCAAAATCATAAAAAATTCTAAGAAGGAATTTGAGGGAAAATTAAAATGGTGTATACAAAAAATATTAAAAACTGAGCTCAATGGCAAAAACACCAAAAAAGCAATACATTCATGGGCTATCCCTTCAATATCATGTTCATTTGGTGTTATAAAATGGTCCCCGACTGACCTAGATGCACTAGTATAAGAGTACAACTTACCAAACATAGAAAACATCACCGGAGAGCTTGTACCGAAAGACTCTATCTTGAACGCAAACAAGGGGGCAGAGGACTGTTAAACATTAAATTATTACATGACTCACAAGTTAATGGTCTTATAAAATATTTTCGAGAAACAAGGATCAACTCTAATTTCCATAAAACAGTGTCCGTTGTAGATAAATACAGGGTTGTTCACCACATACGACACGGAGTATTGTAGCTAAACGATTAGATTTTTACAAATTGAAGAACTATTAGAGCTACAATCTAAAAATATTTTTACAAGATACAGAGTGTCCCAAATAAGTTAAAACTATTATAGTTGTATTTTTTTAAATGGAACACCCTGTATATTATTATATTTATAGATTCTACGATTAAAATAAAGGTAAATTTGATTAAGGTTTATTACATTTAAACCTTACCGTTTTTGAAATATTTTCAATTTTATGAAATTGCAGTAAAAATTTTAAGGCTTCGTTTCTCCAAGGGTATCTAAGTTTTTAATACTAAATAATTACTGAAGTTTATTTATTGATCAGATATTGTGTTGCAATAATAAACGAAATACTACCTTATACAGGGTGTCTAAAATTTTTTATTAAATAATTACTAGCTTTAAACGCCAATAACTTGTTTAATTTAAATGGAACACACTGTATATTTTACGAGAATCAGATGCACAATTTAATTGACTATCCAATTGTATTATACCGTTTTTTACCTATCTCTTCAAGTTTTTGTAGAAGTAGCATTTTCTTATAATTTAGACCTCATTTATCACTATACCCATGGAATATTGACATTTTAGATTATTTTAAAAATGTAACAAATTTTCAAAGAGTACTAAGTACAAAGAGATACTAATATGGTCGATATAATTCGCTTATTTCATTAAAAAATAAGAAAAACTGTTTAAATATTTGTTAAATAGCACCAATTAATATGATCCTAGTATTTAAACTACATTAATTCACTGTTTACGTTGATTAACAATAATTTTTCCAAATACTAAAACCTGAATTTTGTATGTGTATTAGACAGTGTGGTAAAATGTACCACCTTATAAATATATTTCATTTTTTGACGAATGCTTATTTATAACAACAGAGATGTTCATTTATATAACTTATTATTGTATTGATTTCTGAGTCAAATCCACATTTATTTAGAATAATTTATTAATTAAAACAATTAAGTATGTAATTAACTAATTGTTAGGCGGAAATAATAGGCGGAGTATATTAATAATTACTAATAATTGGTATACTCTTTTACAAAGACTTAAATAGTTTTCTTTTTGTAAACAAATGGGCTTACAATATTATTATTTTTACCACCTGTATATTTTGTACACATGTTGCTGTGTAAAAAAATCCAAAATGTCAATATTCCATAGGTATAGTGATAATTGAGGTCTAAATAATATAAAATGCATTTTCTACGAAAACTTGAAGAAATAGGCAAAGAATAGTATAATACAATTTGATAGACAATTAAATTGTGCATCTGATTCAAGTAAAATATATAGGGTGTCCCATTTAAATTAAACAAGTTATTGCCGTTTAAAGCTAGTAATTATTTAATATAATTTTTTGAACACTCTGTATAAGGTTGTGTAATTTTTATTATTGCAATATATCTGATCAATAAATAATCTTCAGTAAATATTTAGTATTAAAACTTTTAATACCCTTGGAGAAATGAGGCCTTAAATTTTTTACTGCAATTTCACAAATTTGAAAATATTTCAAAAACGGTAAGGTTTAAGTGCAATAAACCTTAATCAAATTTACCTTTATTTCAGTCGTAGAATCTAAAAATAGAATAATATACAGGGTGTTCCATTTAAAAAAATACAAATATAATATTTTTTACTTATTTGGGACACTGTATCTTGCAAAATTATTTTTAAATTGTAGCTCTAATAGTCTTTCAACGAACCCAAAACTTATAATTTGTAAAAATCTGATCGTTTAGCTACAATACTCCGTGTCGTATGTGGTGAACAACCCTGTATAGTGCTCTCCAACTTAATAAGTACAACTACAAAAATATACCTACACGACATGAGAGAACTGAAATTTGGAAAGCGAAACCGTTGCACGGGAAATATCCTAACAGGCTTACAACTGCAAATAAGAGATTATCAACAATTTGGCTGCGCAGTGGCGTCTTGTTTCCCGAGACGGAGGGTTTTATAACCGCAATACAGGATGGTGTAATTTCAACAAGGAATTACCAAAAATATATAGAAAAAAGAAGCGTTGACGATAAGTGTCGGCTATGTGGAAAAATGTCGGAAACCATAGAACATATCATAGCAGGATGTTCAGCTATTGCCGCTACTGAATACACTAAAAGACATAACCTGACAGCAGCGATACTACACCAAGAATTAGCTTTGAAGACCAAATTAAAAAGTGAAAAAGAACTATATTATAAATATATACCTCGACCTGTAGCTGAGAATAGTGAATACCTTCTCTATTGGGACACATCAATCATCACAGATAAATTGCCACAAATTGCCGCAAACCCATTGCCGCAAATCGCCCAGATATTACCTTAGTTGATAAAAAAGAAAAAGTTGGTTATTTTACAGAATCATCATTTCCTTTCAAAACCGCATCAAAAATTTCTGATATAATTATCTACATCCGGCATCCGGCGGATGTAGATAAGACCTATGCACAAAGTTTTATTTTACTTAAATATTTATCACAAAAATTGATCTTAAATTTTCTAGAAAAACAAAAGCATGACATCATGAGAGGAAGCCGTAAAGATTGAAGTATTAGGTCATTTTACTGTAAACCATTGTCTTGTTCACATCGCTCTCATCATATCGTTATGGATAAATCAAGTTTGATTTATTTTTACCGTTTAAATAAATATTATTATTATTTATGAATACCCAAAAGACATTAGTAATTAAAACTCAATCGTCAAACGTTAAAAATTATCATCTGTGTTAAAAAAACATGGAAAGATTTTTTTTGGAATATATATCGGGTGTGAAAAAAACAATCTATGACGTAAAGCGTTTGTTTTTCATTAACACCCTGTATATAATAGACATGACGTAAGACAGATGCCATTTGACAGATGATGTAAGACAGGTTTGACGTTTGACGTAAGACAGGTTTGACAGATGACATTTGACAGATGACGTAAGACAGGTTTGACGTTTGACGTAAGACAGGTTTGACAGATGACATTTGACAGATGACGTAAGACTGGTTTGACGTTTGACATTTGACAGATGACAGGTTTGACGTTTGACAGATGACAGGTTTGACGTTTGACAGATGACGTTTGACAGGTGACAGGTGACAGCCCCCCACTCCTAGCGCATGCGCCGTGCGCCTCCACCGCCGCCACCGCCGCCTGCGCCTGATGCAGAATCGGCCTTCTCCCTCTACTATCGATATTTCACATCCTAACGATAACAACTTAGAACAAAAGGAAAGAGAGGCAATTACTAAATACCAGGAGCTCGCTGAAGAATATAAACAGATACATCAACTTAAAAAAATGATAGTAATATACCGTTGGTAATATCGGCTACTGGCTCTTTTAGTAAAGATTTTTTGGCGTACCTAGAAAAAACTAAACTATTCGATCAAATACTTACTGAGTTACTCCAAAAATCAGTAATATTAGAGAACTGCAGAATAGTAAGAAAAGTTTTGAACATCAGCGAATAGATAATACTGGCCCGACTTACTTACCTTGCACCTATTACTTTTGCGGAGATTTGGTCTATTTGACCCCTCCTGCAAAAAATACCCTGAAATGGAGAAATTAAAAAAAAAACAAAAAAAAACTAACTAAAATATCTTTATGTTCTAAATATATAAAATCAACATTATGTACAAAACAAAATAAAAAATAAATTTGTAAAATAGCTTGCAATGATGTTTCTTCTTGTTAAATGTCCTTCCCTGTTCATCCTGGCATCATTATTGTGAACTCTGGGATCCCCAAGTTGATCTTGTGGTAGGGGTACATTTAAGTCCAACTCGAATCTAGCTGCCAGCCATACATTATGTAAAATTGCACAGGCATTGGCAATATTTCCAACTTTTTCAGGAGAATACCTCAGTGTTCTTGATAAACACATAAATCTCCTCTTATATAGACCAGTACACCTGTCTACACAATTCCTTGTCTGCACATGTGCCACTGTATATCTGCCGTCGGGAGTTTCTGGATCAGCATTTTCTATGGGGGTCAGTAACCATGGTTCTAGTGGATAACCAGAGTCTTCTAGCAGCCAAGAATAACCTGTGAAACGAAAGGAATGTTAGTTTTTACCTCATAAAAATCACTAAACTAAAATACCTCTAAGATACCACGATTACAGTTCATCTCTAACAAGTGAATGCCTCCAAATGTATGCATCATGTGATGCTCCAGCGTAACGTGTATTTAAGTTTAATATTTCAAAATCGTAATCACAGGCCTAACAAAACAAAATAATAGTAAATGTAATAGAAATGTTTCGTAAATATACAATAATGTAATATTAATACTACTAAGATAATATAAGTGATAAATTATACTATTTATTTCTACGAGCACATATAAACTTTAAAACTTACAAATGTATCTATAATAAAGTAAATAAACTCACTATATGTATGTTCTTTGAGTGGAAACCTTTTCTGTTTAAGTAGTTTTGTTCTTCCAAACCAAGGCCTCAATATTCTAATGTGTGTGCAATCCACTGAATCCACTGAAGAATGTGTGTGAATCACTGGAGGTATCGCTACGGGATTATTTGTTTGGTGCTTATTCGCCCTAAACTAGGCGAATCGCCTGTTTGGTTTCGTCGTCTCTACCGGTTAGACTGACAAGTTGTCGCTCCATCGTTTTCGTGGACGTCCTAAGCTTCTGCGACCTAGCGGTGATTTGTCGCGTGCAACTCTCACTATCCTTCTGTTGTCTATTCTGCTGATATGCTCGTTCCACTCTCATTTCGGTTGTTTCTAGTAGTTGTTTAGTTTTCGCTGTATCAGGTCGAGTTTCTGCAGTGTATGTCATTATTGGTCGTACCGTTGCCTTGTAAATTCTCGCTTTAGTCTCCACCTCAATGTTTTTATTTCGCCATATTGTATCATTCAGGCATCCTGCTATTCTGGTTGCCTTCGTTGTTCGTTCTCGCACCTCCGCTTCTACATCACCATATCCTGAGATTTCTATGCCTAGATACTTAAACTTCATCTCTTGCTGAATAACATTGCCCTCGACTTCCAGTTTGCATCTTAGTGGTACTTTTGATGTCGTCATGCATTTGGTTTTCTGGGTCGATATTATCATATTAAGTGATTTGGCAGTGCAATTAAATCGATGTAATAAGCGCTGTAGATCGTTCTCATTTTCAGCTACCAATACGGCGTCATCGGCATAGCATAGAATAGTAATTTCCTGGTCGCCCATACTGTATCCCTTCAGTAAACGTACATTTCCTATTATTTCGTCCATAATGATGTTGAAAAGAAGAGGGCTCAGGAAGTCACCTTGTCGGATACGACAGCCTACATTTAGTGGTTCGGTCAGGACCCCGTTAATTTTAGCTTGAATTTGGTTCGCTTCATATATGTTTTGTATGGTTTTAACGAGGTTGTGTGGAATTTGCCTATTGTAAAGAAGGTGTACAACGTCTCTTAGCTGCACACGGTCGAACGCTTTTTCTAAATCAATAAAACACATATACGCTGGTTTGTTATATTCGATTGATTTTTCTGTTATCTGTCTTATGACAAAAACCGCGTCTGTGCATGATCTGCCCGATCTGAAACCTTGCTGTTCATCTGCTAAGCATGTTAAGTCGTTTATTTTGGTTGTCATCACTTTTGTCGTAAGTTTTAGTGTGGTGCTTAGAAGATTTATGCCTCTATAGTTTGAGGGCAGCTTCTTATCTCCTCTTTTAAACATCAAGATAGTGGTGCTGGTTCGCCATTCATCGGGTATCCTGTGTTGGTAAAGAATTTCTTGAATCAGGGATGTTAGCTGCTGTATGAGACTTTGGCCGCCATATTTAAGTAATTCGTTTGGGATATCATCTTGCCCTGGGCTCTTCCTGTTCTTTAGCTTTCGAAGGGATGTAATTATATCGGCTGCCTCAATCTGTACGTTGTCGTTGGTCATTATTTCGGGTGTATTTAGTTCAACCTCTATTTCTTCTGATTTGTATAGTTCTGACAAGTAATCAATCCATATTAGGACATATCTTTTGTTATTCTAAAGAGTTCCTTGAACCTCGTGTCCTCGATTGAAAAAGGATCACTATCAGCCCTCATTACTCGCCGCTCAATATTTTCTCTTCTTTCCACTTCGTCAGCTACCAGTATATTTGCTAAATTAATAGGCAGCATCATTAAATCTTAAGACTTAAGTACAAAGAGGAAATATATGTATCAAATCAAAAATTGAAAAAATGACAATTGACTTTTAACTAACTCGTATTAGTGTAAACCACAGATCACCTCTGTAAACTACAAAATCCCTAAAAAATAACGAAATATTTTTAGGTCGAATAGTATTTTATCGAAAACGCCCGAAGTATAGGCGATTGTAACACATAGTGAATAGTCAAACTCGACTATCGCTTTCGATGATATGATAGAAAACGACATGTAGAAATCGATCTTGCACAGAGTGTGTGACCATGACTTCAATACTCTCGCAGTAAGCTTTTTCAAGGACCGATACGTTTGAGACATGATGCATTTTCTGTCCTCAGTATAGGAAAGTACTAAAGGCACGTGAAACAAAAACAGGCCAAGCTGAAAAGAAACAAAAAAAGTGGAAATATGAAGACGAAATGAGCTTCTTAGTACCATATTTGAAGGATAAAGCACGTGTCTCTTGATTAAACCTGGACGAAGACGATGAAGACGACAAAAATGAAGATGGTGAAATGAGTTCGATTGTAGACGATAATGAAAACGAAGGGGAAACATAGGAGAAAGGACCTGTGCTGGTGTTACCGAGGTCAGTGTGTCACGAAACAAAATTATTCAGAATAGGAAGATACCACGCAAGCAACCTCCAACAGAATCTACGAGTTCTACTCTAATGAAATTCATTTTACAAGAAAAAGAAGTTGAGTGCAAAAATTCGGAAAATCAGAAAAATATCATTTAGATCTATTTTTCGATAGTATGAAGGCAACGGTGCGTAATTTTTCACCCGCCGATATTCACACGACTAAAAGACAAATATTTAATTATGTGTCCGATATTGAAGACAAATATATTTAGATGCGTGACTGCCCTAATAATGATCGAGGCTGTGCTGATCAACCTGCTTCAAATTCCACTTCCCGTCATACTTTTAATATGACCGAGAAGCCCCAAAGATACCAACAAGACTGCGTCCATGATTTCCAATCCACTTCCGGTTTCATTAGCATCGAGCAGCTGCAAAGACATCTACAAGGCTCCCTTCATATTGCTCAATCCACTTCCGGTCGAACTTTTAACAGCATCGCGCGTCTCCAAAGACACCAACAAGACTCTCTCCATGATTCTCAGTCTACTTCTGGTCCTAGTTTTAATAGAATCGAGCAGCCCCAAAGAGAATACCAACAATTGCCACTTCAAACAAACACTGATGGTTCTGTAACTACGTCTACCCCACTTTCCTCAGCAGCGTCATCATATTATGAACATTTCTCGTGTGAAGAAAAAATATAATTTCACAACTTTGTAGGTATTATTAAAAATAAAAGCGTTTTGTAGGTGCCTATAATCCGATTTGAATTCAATTTGGTTTCTAACAATAATTTTATTTATTAAAATAAGTTATTTTCTTACCTTAAACAAACACATACAGGGTGGTCCATCGAAAACGTTCCGCAAGGCATAACGCCCAGGGTAATTTTTTTTTTTCAGAAAATTCATAAACACGTCAATTTTGTTTGTGAGGGGGACAACTTTTGCCCCAAAAATGATTGCAAAATGTTCAACCCTCTAAGCGGGGGTGTCATCCCCCAATTTTTTTCAAATGGGAAGGGGGGTCAAGTGGTACCGCAATGAAAAGGACTTTCTATTCTCTATACTTTCCCGTTTCGGTTTTGAAAATCGGTCATTGAGAAAATATGAAGGATTGAAATTGGAAAAGTTTATTTAAACATTTATCTGAGTAAGTGATAAGGATAAATTCCTTGGACCATTTTGCTATTTTTTCTTATTATTTCTAGATGTTTACGCATTTTTTCACTTGCCACAAGGTTGAACGATCAGATGCGGTAGTTGCTAGATAGCTGTTCTGTGATTTGTGCGTTGAAGTTCTTCTCAATATCGTTAAACTTTTTAGCAATTATGGTGTACTCACTTTATTTTAAAAATAATGAATGTATCGGGTTGCGCAGATATTCAATGAAGGTCATCCTGACAAATACCTTTATGGCAAAATTGTTCGCTAGTTAGTAGCAAAATTTCGCGAAACTGGTTCCGTTATGAATAAAAAGAGGCAGAGGGAAAATAATGTAGTAAATGAAGCTATGGAGGTATTCATATTGGGCCAAGCTGCCATGGATAGTACGCTGAGTACAATTAGCCAATGAGACCGGCGTGAATCGTACAAGTGTCCAAACGAAAAAAACACAAGTTCCACCCTTACAAAATTCAGTTGGTACAAGAACTGAACGAAGACGATTTTGATTGTCGCTTGCAATTTTGTGAAACTATGAATGAACGAGTGGCGAATGATAATAATTTCCTATTTAATGTGTGTTTTTCGGATGAGTGTACTTTCTTTTTGAACGGTGTAGTTAATCGGCACAACTGTCGGTACTGGGCCGAGGACAACCCCAGGGTTTTTCACCAGGTGCACACACAAAACTCTCAGAAATTGAACGTGTGGGCTGGTAGTTTTGGAAATTCTATTGTGGGTCAGTTTAACGATATTGAGAAGAACTTCAACGTACAAGTCACAGAACAGCTATCTAGCAACTACCGCACCTGATCGTTCAACCTTGTGGCATATAAGAAAAAACAGCAAATTGGTCGAAGAAATTTATTCTTATCATTTACTCTGATAAATATTTAAATAAACGTTTTAAATTTCAATCCTTCATATTTTCTCAATGACTCGACCGATTTTCAAAAACGAAGCGGGGAAATATAGAGAATAGAAAGCTCTTTTCATTGCGGTGCCACTTGACCCCCTACCCATTTGGAAAAAGTTGGGGGATGACAGCCCCGCTTAGAGGGTTGAAGATTTTGCAATCATTTTTGGGGCAAAAGTTGTCCCCCTCACAAACAAAATTGACGTGTTTTTGAATTTTCTGAAAAAAAAATTACTCTGGCCGGTATGCCTTGCGGAACGTTTTCGATGGACCACCCTGTAATTTCTTCAGTGGTGTGATAGATTCTCGAAAGGTGGTATTTTTTCTTATTAATCCGACTAAATTTTATTTAAAATAAAATGAAATGCGCATTTCGTCATACGAAAGTATTGAAAAAATTTCATTTCGTCATCCACAAGTTCTTTGTGTAAAGTGAAAAATTCACCTTCAGTTTTTCTTTTTTTTAACATATCATGGTTTAACATATCTTCCGTTTCTTTTTATTTTTATACTCTTCTTCGTCCAAACATATTGCAATAGCAGCCAATTCATTATTCGAAAAGCTTTTAAACATTTTTCAAAATCACTTTTACAACTTCGCGACCAACTTCGCGTCGTTCAATTTTGGAACGACGTTTGATTGAAGAGTGTAAATACTGTCGAAAAATCTTGACCGTGAGCGGACCATGAGCGTACTGTGACCTGATAGCCTAGTGGAAATCGGCCTTAACCTTCCGCCACTGCCGCGCGGACTCAGGGTCCAAAACGACCGAAAATTCCAGATTATTTGGA